AGTATACTAAAAATTCTTTTAGTCCAAATTCCGGAATATAATTAATAGTTTTATAAGAACTTACTATAATGTTCTTGTAGATGATACAGTCAATCTAGTAAATGGATAACAATGTCTAAGTTTGGCTTGTTTTTTTGTTGATTATTCTGCTGCAACCATTTGAAGAAAATTGTTTCAAATTCTTTTTTTTTTTGTTTTCTTTGATTTATTTATGGTAAACATATTTTCTACCATGTTCTCGTTTTGTTTTCAATCTTCGTCTTTCTAATAATTGTTCGGCAGACAGACCGTATCCCGATTTCTTAAACTATTACAATCTGACAATTTCAATCTATCATTACTTTTAATACTATTAGGGTTTTTCGACGATTCACCACTTGTTGGCTGTACTTTTTGAATACTATCTGTTGATTTTTATTTTTATCACAAGTTGTGCCCCCTTTATTACCAGATATATCTGTTTTGAAATTCCAAAAATAAATCATAGTTTAACGTTTTGGGTTGTAATATTTTACTTGTTCGTTTAGTATTTTTGTTACTACTTTAAGCTGCCTTCAAGTTGATGTGAAAAATTTGGCAGTTTTAGTGTGTATCACATTATATACTTTGTTTTTATTCAATGGCTTGAGTTTACTACTAGAGTCTAATCCAAAATAATAAGTAGTTTAGGGTTTAGTTAGAGAAATAATACCATTACGGCTAATCACAGGAGGCCGAATTATTTGGAAATTTCGCTCTACATTCTGTAATATTATTTTTTTTAGGAACCAATTGTTTTATTCCCTTGGTTGATGTTGATATTATACTTCCTATTTGTTAGCTGGTCTTTGACTCTTTCTATCTCTTATAATATTGTTTTAACCTCATTATCTGACTCAATAATGTTCATAAAAAACAGTGGGACCTCTGAGTTTGTAGAATAGCTTTGTGAAGGCTAGCGGAATATTAAAATTTAATAATCGAANCTGACTCAATAATGTTCATAAAAAACAGTGGAACCTCTGAGTTTGTAGAATAGCTTTGTGAAGGCTAGCGGAATATTAAAATTTAATAATCGATCGCTTTTTTTGACAATGGATTTATTGCACTGGTAATTCACTTTTAATTGTTAAATAAAATTAGTTGGTCAGTATTTTATCTGTTGGTAGCTACAATGTGTAATGTGTGTAGAACAAATTTATACATATTTAGTTTTTATTAAAAACAGAGGGTGTTCTGAGTTTGAAGAAAAGCTTCGACTAATAGAAAGACTTGAAAAAGTTATTTCTTTGTCATACTTGAATTCCTGCTGAGTTGACTGATTTTTTTCGATAGGTGTACAAATCACTACATCGTTCTGATCGTTTCCTTCTGTATTAGGCATCAAATCTGCTTTAGCTATGATTAATTCATATATGTTTTGTATATTTTCATTAGTTCATATATTTTTCCATATGTACCTTTATGTTTGAACACCCCTTGTATAACGGGAAATGGTCAGATTTAAAAAAAAAAGTGTACCGATTCCATCAAAATAGTTATTCCTAATTATCCTATTGTAACAAAGTTTAAAATATTCATTTCAATCTTGTGACTATTTTATTTCCCTGACTAAAAGAAAAATTTTTTTTTTTTTTTATATTATTTATATCATATTTAATTTTTTCAATTTTACATTGCTATAACTTTTTAAAAAATATATGAATCAATACAACTACTTTTCTTACATGCTTTATATTTATCCCTTTCATCTAAAAACTTTTTTTTTATTCATACCATTTTCTTTTATACAGATGTATTGATAACTTGGAAATTACGAGTAATAAGTAAAACGTAATTTCTGAAAATATTTCAGAAACATTGCGAGCTTTAAACATTTGATAAATTATAGTTCATGTTACATACTATAAGTTAAAAAATATGTATTTGTGCTAACGACTTGTTTTCTGTATGTAAACGGTTTCCGAAGTTAGACAAAAAATATCATTTAGGTGTAAGAATTACCGTTTTTAAGTTATAATTTTTGCTTAAATTTGTCATAACTCTTTTATATTAATATCGAAATAAATCATTGCAATAAAAAACACAGAATCTTTCCTATGAAATTAAATATTTATTACTATAATTAAAATCATAAAATAGTAAGTGTTTATTCAAATATTAAACTCGTAAATCAACGAATTACTAATAGCATATAATTAAGGAAATAGGAATTGATGTTGCTTTTGGTATAATCCAATTACTGAAAATGAAATACTATCTACAGATTTGTAACGAAGCGTTTCTTATGATAGTGATTTGAATCCCAACCAGATGTCATCTATATTTGTCTTTTAATACCACGAACCCACTGTGTTACCCGTTTTTTTAAATTTTAATATTACCACATACAATATACGCATCTTAGACAAATGTGTAAAGATTTTTACTAATTATTACAAAGTGTTAAATCTGCGCACATATAATTAATTTTTGTTTTTAAAATTATATTGTAGAATAGGGTAGGTAATTAGTTAGTGTGGTAACCGAGATAGTTAAAAAAAATTTTCCAGTGAAAAAAAAGAAACCAAATATAGTTAATAAACTTAATAAGCTAATTAATATAATTGATGTATTAAAATTAAAAATAGGCATTTTATAAACTTAATATGATTTATTTCATTATATGACAAATGCTTTAATGATAATAATTGCGCTTTATGTTCTAGGCAACATTAGTAAAGTTTAGTTCTCGATGTTCAATAAATAAATCAAATATAAATTACGCGTGGTTATTGTCCACGTAAGTTTCTCTAGATTTACAAAGAAATAAGAATAAAAAAATAAAAGATTATGGTTAAGTTTTATATTAGAGGATCAGAATTGGATCGCAAGCCGTCTATTGCCTATATTACCAACATAGAATAATTATATTGAAGTATTTGAAGAAATCAATATAATTATGTTTTTGAAGTACATTTTTGGATCGTGCGATTTTTATGATAATTTATTGTCTAAAGTGAAAATTGGTATATATTAATTCTGATAATAGTTATAGCTCTAAAATAAAAACAGCATTACAAAAGCAGTTTTATAACAAATTATACGATAATATCTTAGAGTATCAGTTATTTTATGAATTATTTTATTCATTGAGTTCTGTTTTAATTAATATAAAAATAATCTTCAAAAAATTAAACTAAATTTGTTATTATTAATACATTGCAACTTGAGTTCAAAGATTAAATTTAAATTTTTGTTTTTTTTGAAAGTAACTAATGTTTGTTAACAAAAATGATACATTAATTAATAATGAAACCATAAGTTGAGTAAAAAAGCCACCCCTAACAACTATTCATAAATATTACCAGTATATTTAAGGTAGTACAGAAATGAAACAACTAATCATAATTATAAACATTTAATATCAATAATGAACATATAAATTATTATAATTTTTTATCTTATGAAAAACTTTAAAGTCGTTTTAGTATAATACATTTTTTTTATTGATGAAATAAATATATTTTTTGTTCATATTGCATTTATTGTATGAAATAAAATCAAAAGTTTGCTCACCATTTTTTCATAAATAATTTTTCATGTTATTTAATTTACATATGATATTAAAACTATTTATTATTTAAAATTTCTATAAAACATTAAATGCGTAACAATAATTTAAAAAAACAAGTATTCAAAATATAATTAATACTTATGAAGTAAATATAATTAGCAAATACCGATAATACTTTAAGTGTTCAAGAAAAACATACATCTCATGGTACGTATTGACGCATGTAATTCCAATTAATAATTATAATAATGTGCTATAAAATTAATAACGATGCTTAAGAGTATACAAGTAATTTAAATGTATATAAATATAATTTCATAATTACATTTTTCAAATAAATGATTAATGATATCGTACACATTTAAGTTATTGTTTGGCGATAGTAATTAATAAATGAAAAAACAAATAAATAATAATTTACAAAAACTAAAAATATAATAACATAATAGGGTCATCAAAAATTATAAGATAGCAAATAATTTTGAGCAAAATTTAGTCAATATATTTTACATACGAATAAATATTAATTAAAAATACATATTTAATTTAGTTAAGATACATTTAATAATTTATTGTTATTTATAATAGTCATAATTGAGGTATATTACAAAATAAAGTTTGCTTCTAGTTACATGTAATTAATATATTTGGTTTCATTATCAACAGCTCGTAGCAAAATAATACAAAAAAGAAAGAAGGTAAATATTTCTTTTGAAATAAATAACACTAATGAAAATCTTCAGAATTAAACAATAAGTCTACAAAACTAACTTATTGTGTGGTTAAAACTTAAAGATTTCGAATATATACCTACCAATTGGTCGGTTTATTAATTCTGAAATGTTAATACTCAAAGGGAGTTTTTCCCTAAGGTTAAAATAGACAATATTTATTAAAATTCAGCCAAGTAATTAGTGTTACACAAATTATAAGATGCTTCATGTCACTTTTTCAAATCTTGGTTTCCATATGTTTACCTCTTTTGCCACAATACCTACGGCAAATATTGACCATCACATAAGCCATTACGTTTTTTTGTTTTGTTATCACTGAACCGTTGAAAATGTACGGGAAGCGTTTGCGTCACGATTTATTGTAGTCGCCTCTATGTTGGTGAGGTGTAGAAAATAATAAATAGATATTTTCGATAATATTGCAAGGGCGGCGGTGGAAGAGGTGGACATAGGGATACACGTTATCACCAAGATACGGAAGAGTGACGGTAGAAGCAGCTATAGTGGTATATCTTAAATGGTACACTATAAATACATTATACCGTATAATTATAGTTAATTAAAAATATTTTATTTTTTGACCCTGGGTACACAAAAACACTGTTGTAACTTGTGGTATTCAAATGGAAAATATTGATTATGTAAAATCTTTAAAGCAATTTGATATTTTCATAGGTATTTCAAAAGCATTTGAGGGATCATAAAAATAAAATGGATTTTTAAGAACAAAATAAAAAAAACTCTAAAATATAACATAATTCGTTATTTATGTAATATATATTATACATACACAATTTAATAGCGCCAAAATTCAAAATTAGGTATTTAACCGTTATCCCTGTCGAAACAATACCATAAAAACACAAAATTAATAATACTAACCAAAAAAATAAAAATCATGGCTATGTCAATGTGTTCAGGTAAACTATAAATAGGAACAAAAAAAATACAGTTAAATTAAATAAAAAAATGTCTAAACTTGTATGCTAATCGTTCATTCATTATGAAATTAGACGTCCGTTGTCGGTCATATGATATCAGTTTCGTACACTTTATTGATGGACGTTGTTGTGGATGTGTTAGCGGTGGCGGCGGCGGAAGCGGCTGGCTGTTGCCCACCGGTGACGGTGGAAGTGGTGTCGTTTTTGTCGGTGTCCACCGATGACTGAGACGCCAGTTGAGTCAGCGAGCCCGACATGGGAGCAGCGGCACTCATAGCTAGTCCCATCTTAACTAAAAGATTGCCTTCGCTTCCCGTCTTCTTTAGTTGTAATAAATCCGGTGGCAGCTGACTACGTTGTAACTGTTGCAAGCGCATGTACTGTTCTTGAAGTGCCTTCTGTTTTTTCAACAGTTCCTGATGTCGCTGCTCAAGTTGTTCCTGTCTCGAAGGTCCACTGTTGGCCACTGGTTCCGGCAACGGTAATTTGCCGCTACCGCCGCCGCCACCGCTACTGCTGCTCGTCGTCGTGGAGACACTGGCCAGAGATCCTTTGCGGCTAGGGGGGCTGCCCGAGGCTGTGGACGACAAGGAGCCCCTAGGGGAAGTTGTCGGTATGACACCGGTGGTTGGCGACGCTACCGGCGACTTTGAACTAGTTCGGGGTGGCGGGGGTGGAGGCATTCGTTTGTTTTGCAAATCAGGCGTTCGCTCGGGCACGGGCGGCTTGGCATCGGATGAAGTACTGCTCAATCGCCGTAACACCGGTCTAGGCAACGTTGACGCCGCCGTCTCCGCCGCCGATGTAGTCTGCAGTTCATCTAACAAAGTGTTGAGTGCGTTCTCCGCACCTGCTGATTCGCGTTTTCCAATGCCGACGGTTGTAGCGGTTCCGGGTCCGTCCTGGTCCACGACACTCCCCTGAAAAACGATACGATAAGAATTTTACAACGGACATAGTGACATTGTTCAATGTTTTTGAGGCTTCTACGTTTCAGACAGTTACTACAATTAAACAACCGAATTGTTACTTAGTTTAAATGTCGTGTCAAAATATTTATTAGCTTATCATAATCTAAGTACAATAATATCTAATATCAATAATAATATTTATAGGTCTAATTTATGGCTCATACAATACAATTTGCCAATGAATTACATTGCTAAAAATATACAGGTTCAATTATAACGAATACATTTGAGATTAATAAATATATGTATATAATAGAAATTAAGAAAATTTAAGAAAAAGGAATCCGGGTCATTAGAAATTCTTTTAAATTAAAAAATAATTATTCTACACGGTTTTTAGTTAAAATATTTCATTTTTAGATTTTACACGAGTACATGTCAAATTAAGCGAAACTGAATGTACGAAATTAATTAGGAGAAAATTAATTTTAAAATGTATACAAAGTAAACCCGTTTATTTAGATCGCCATAGTTTATAAAAAAGAAAATCAAACAGTTACTGACAAAAAAAAAGGGTTGTTGAGGGTTCGTAAAGGTAAATATAAATATTCAAGCTTTTGTAACATTGAAGTTTCATTTAATTGGTTAGTAAATAAAAATCTTAAAAACGAAGGTTAGTATAATGAAATCTAAGACCTTGTATTTACCCCAACATTCGAATCCAAACACGGTGTACTTATATAGTTATTGGGGTGAATATCCGTGACAATAAAAAACGTACATATATTTACAATACCTGCTCACAATCTACGTTATCCGTGTAGGCGTTATTCACACACTAAATTAAGAAAAAAATAAACACACACAAACAAAATACAACAAATAAATAAAAATCTAAAAAATGGTAAATAGCAAGCAGCTAATACTTAATATGAAAAAAAAATTGAATACACATAAATTCTACAAAACACGCTGAAAACTTATTTAGAGGCGTATCCAGTGTTTAATTATTTTGTACGCTTTTATGTTTTAATTTAATGTAACTTTGCCTAAAGATTACTGTAACTGCAAAAAACAGTTATAACTAAGAAGAGTTCACGACACAAATTTCGTTGTTAACAAAATTAACAATTAAAATTAATTTAATGTTATGACACCTCGTTAATACAGCACCACATTAGATACGCCTCTGGTGGGTTACATGAGTTCTTGACACTTTTGATTGAAAGCACTACAGAACCTAAGATTTAAACCAATCATTGCAGCAAACACATATAAAGTGGGCATGAACAACACTTAGGTATTCATGTACACTTACATGTATGTGCAGCATATTTATCAAGTAAATTTAAAACATTTCCAATGTGAAATTAACTTTTTCTTTTGGTTTTAATTTGTCTTTACAAAATGCGTAGTAATAATACATCACAAAGGGAAACCTAATTATGTGTGACCAAAAGTAAAACAAAATAATGTGTGAAAATAAAAAAACTTGGATGACAAATGATGAATAAATAAACAATATCACATAGAGTAAGGAAGGACATTATAATATTATGGTTGTCTATAAATTCATGCACAAGTCCCATAAGAGGATTAAATATTAATAAATAATATTTTAATTTTACCAAAAATATGTTCTATTATCTAAAACGATTGATAAGAACCGTGTAAAAAATATATAGCCACGCATGCATCGTCGGAAAAGAGCTAAAAAATGTAAACAGTAATTTACGGAAAACATACCTAATCATATGAATGTAACATGTAAAAAATAAACGAAATGATAAAAATAATGTTTATGTGTCAGATGGACGTTTATATGACGAATCAAGCGTATGAATAAAAAAAATATTACACAAATATATAAAAATGATTATAACAATAATAATGTATAACAAGCGTAAAAAAAATGTAGAAGAAATTCGGACTGGTAAACAATGAAAACAATAAAAAAAATTTACTCATGGCTAGTAATTGCATCCTTGAAGTTCGCACTCCAACGCCAACCAAACTGGTAGCCGATTAAAAACAAAAAAATACAAAACAAAAATTAATTTCATAAAGCTCTTTCAATATTATGGTTTTATTTGATAAACGTTTTTTTTTTTTATCAGGATTTCATAATCAGTTTATTTGACATAGTATGCTTACGAGTACATATGATAAAAACAATATTTAAATCAACTTATCGGTAACTGTTAAGGTATTAATAGAAAATAATAATAAAAAATTAATAAATTTAAGAAAATAATAATAAAATGAATATATAATCGCAAAATAATTATTAAAAACACATTGGAAATGCATTATTTTTTTTGTCCAATGACACACGTTATAAAAAATAATAAACGGATCAACTAGTTTTTTTATAAAGCCAAATTAACTAACAAAACAATAATAGTTATAATACGTTAATGAATAATAACAATATGATAAAACAAAGCGATATTTGTGTCAAAAGTCTTTAAATATACTAAGACTTTAATTAATAATTTTAATTTAGGACTCGCGGTCCGAAAATTTTAATACGATTATCCATTACAGTAGATCAAATATTTCTCATAATGTAAATTAAGTATTCATTACGATATATAAAACAAATACTAGTAATTTCAGTTATTAATTGAACAATTGTCTATATACCTTTGCGGACGAAGTAGGAGTGATTGGCGGTGTGTCTTCATTGGTTGGCGACACCCTGGGGTCAGGTAATCGTTGTTCTTGAACAGATGCCAACCTTAAAATTATTTAAAAAACGCTTAAAATGAGTTTGAATAGTCAAATAAAAAATGGTGCTTATTTTGATTATTATGGTAAGGAAAAAATAATTATCAAAATTGCGTTAAATATTAAAAATTAAAACAAAACATTAAGAATAAAAAACATTATTGGTATTCTTAAGTTTAGATATAAAAGTACACATTTTTTTGTCTATAATTAATAGAAAATAAATAAAAATGTTTGAAATTATAACAATGAAAATCTATTTGACGTAAAAAAATGTACCTTTTGAGGGTAACAAGTGTTCCTGTCAACTTTTTACACCTTTTTAGAGCACTTTCCAATCGATCGGGTTCTTCTTTGAGAAACCTAATAATAGACAACGATATTATAACACATTTACTCGCACAAGATGAAATGTTTTTTTTAAGTAAGTTTTACTTTTCTTCGGAAAGAGCTCTATCCATTTCTTTTGTTAATACATTTCTGATCGATTCTTGTAAACTCGGGAACCTCATCTTGAGTTCGGCAACTGTTTTGCTGCAAACAAATATTTCAAACATTTGTATACATATTGTAATGTAAACTCGTGTTGCGTATCTGACCTACAGTAAACTCAATTTTTTTCTCACCTTGATTTACTTAGTACAAGTGCCATGTTCTCGACGTCTGACATATTTACTCGAGATTTCTTGTTTATTACGTTACCTCGCAATTCCTCGACTGTGCTTTCGAGTTCTCTGTAAATAAAAGACAAACGCCGTAAATGTCACAGTGATAGGCAATTTAAATACATTAGACAATTTGTACAGCGGTTATTTCAAAAACATATACACATTCACACACCTAATTTTCACTCTTCGCCTACTGGACTGTCCAAATTTGTTTTACAATAATGAGATTATTTCTCATGAAAGTTCAACAAGTTATATAGATCTCTTATTCCGCAGACAAACTTGGAGCTTACACTTTAAATTTAAATGTAAACAGCTTAATAGCCATCTGCAGATATCCTTACGGCAATCCAACATTAAATTATCAAACTAACTCTTATTATACAAAGCTTTCCTTCAACCCATCTGGTCTTATGGCATCCCTCTATGGGAGTCTGACTAATTGAATATAAAGATAATTCAGACTTTTCAAAATATTGTCATTCGCATAATAACTAGGTACTTCGGTACCTCAAAAATAATCAATTTTTATGAAAACTTCAAAGTCAAAACAATAAAAAAATATATAAACTGATTTTTTTTGTAAAAATAACCTTTCTTTTGCTTTTCATTTACGCTTGCTGATTCCTAGGCAATTGTGATATTGACCTTCTGCTGGCCTTAGTGTAATCTTACACAGAGTGTAAGTTTATCATCAAATAAATTAATAACACTTTAGAAAAAAAAAGTTCAAAACGAGTATTCACTTTTATTAGACTTTATGGATACTCATATAATGTAGTTAAGAAGTATAGTTTTTACAGCAAAAAGTTTTAAATGATTTTAACAACGTTGCACTTATTCGAATATCTAGGAAGAATTTCATCAGTTTAAAGTTTACATAGTAAACTAAGGAACAAAGATAATTGTGAATCAATATGTATAATATATTTATATTTATAAAAAAAAATTTCTTATGCTCTAATATCAATTGTATGTTTAGAATTAAATATAATTTTTAATATTTTGATTTTCAAAAGAATTTTAAAGATATATTTTTACAAAAATTAAAACCATTTACCATCAATTAAGAGAATGTAATAATTATTTGTCTGAAATTTTATAATTAAGCTAAAATACTACTACGTAAACAAAAATATTAATAAATTATAAAATCGATAAGATTTCAGAACTTATCATTTTAATTAAATTAGGACCAACTTTTTAAAACCTAAATTAATTTATTAGTTTTGTACTGGCTATAAGTAAAACTATTCTATAAATTATATCAGGATAAAACTTCATATTATTTTGGAAAACCGTATCAAAACTGTTGTGTTCTTAGTTTTTGTTTGAATATAACACGAACAGTTTTTGATTTTTATAATAAAGTAAAACTCTAGTGATGGTTAATCACCTACAAATCTAAGCAAAACTGTCATATTTTTTATAGCAACAATTAATAAAATGGGAACAGTAATATATTAAACGTGACAAAACAACATATATATTATCTAATGTATTAATAATTGAACACGAAACAAAATATGATTTTATTATACGAAGTAATTAAACTTAGCAGGTCGTTGACCATATTACATTATTATTTTTTTTAGAATATTACGTATTTAATTACGCTTAAAAATATACCTTTTTAAACATAGATTGAAGTAAGAAATAAAATATTATGCGACTTACGTTAAGTCGGTTTCTAGCCTGATGATTTCTTGTTTGTAAATATCTTCTTCCCTGTCCACAAGAGCTCTCTCTTTGGATCCTGATTCATTCCACGCTTGATTGGCACCAGAAGCAATCAACGCTCTAATGACAAAATGATTAATTAAATTAATGAAATACAATTTAGTATACTCTTGCAACGATGCACGTGTTAGACCGAACAACTATGTATGGCAAATGTGTCTGATCTTCTTTTTTCACAAGTTTTAAGCCGTGTTTAATTTTAAATAGATTATTCAACGAGTAATTAATGTGAGACTTAAAGATATATTGATTAAGTAATTGTGTCTATGGGGAAAGTGATATATGTTTTAGCTAACCATACACGGAGTGTTCAAAAACTAAGGAAACAGGTCAATTGTTACAAACAATAAGAATTATAAAACCCATTTTTTTACTTTACTGAACACTCTATATACAAAATCAGTACCTTTAAAGAAAAGCTGAGAGGAAGTTGGTTATCTAATATAAAAAAGACAATAAACTATCTTTTGGTATGTTTTTTTATGGAAATTCAATGAAAAAACCGAAGTACAGGAAAGGTTTGAAAGATACCTCCACGCATGTATTTTTTATTTTTTTATTTGATTTTTGAAGATGTTCCGGAACGCCAGAAAACTTTTAACCTATATCGAATCAAAGTTCTTGAAATGTACTGTAATAATTAAAGGAAATTGTCCGGACGATTTCTTCACTATGAGAAATGAGCCATCAAAGAAAAAAATTCAAAATTGAAATAAACTATTTTAAATGAAGTAACAAACATTTAATACTCGAGTGAAATTAAAGAAATATTCAGAAGTTAAAAATTACAAATATCAAATTATTGTGTAATTCTACAGATTCTCAACGAAAGTGTTTTTTATGATAGTGATGTTAATCACTGTCAGATATTATCTATACTTGTCCCAACTAAATCGAGTCCCCAACTGTTCTGGATTTTTATTTTTATAATTCAACTTTAGATTCTTATTTTTTAACAAACATTTTTTTAGCATTCTTTTTTTAAAATATATATTATTTTTAATTTGTTAATAATAACTTTAAGATGGAAAATTTAAGTCCACAAAATTTTTTAAATATTTAACATAAAATTTTTTTTAATTTTTCAAAAAGGTATCAAAAAAACGTTAATGACATTAGATATATCTTTAGTATGAGAATGGTTAAAATTTTTTTTATTCGAATGTCTATATAGACATAATTATATGATTATATATAATAATTTTACTATTAGAAATCAGTAATAATAATACAAACATACCTTATTTTTATAAATGTGTCTTTAATTGTTTCTCTAATTGTATGAGCCTGGGCTTGGGACATTCTCCTTAAATTTCGCGCTTCTTGCCGCAGGTCTTTTGCTTTTTTTTGTAATACTCTAAGTTGATTATACATTTCCGGCGTGAGTTGTAAATCTTAAAAAGTTATATTGATATAAAAATATATGAACCATTGAAAACACTTACAATAACAAAGTAGATACTTACCACTGTACAAATGTCGGTTGTCGTATTTTTCGGGTACACCAGAAGATTTAGGTGGAGGTTGGGGTTTGAATCGATCTTTTTCTATAAAAAAATTATAGATAAATAAGAAAGCTGAGAAAGTTAAATTTCTCCATTCATATATATAAATGTATCAGAAAATAGTTCTTAGGGTACTTGTAAAAGAAAAGAGTAAGTTTTAAATAAATAATGTAAAATATAGATTTTTTGAAATAGAATAGTTTTTAAAATATATAATTTATTAGTCTTTGAATGCTAATAAAATATATGTGTTTTAAGCTCATTAATTATGCGTGGCCATTCATCTTCAAAGCTAAATAGCATTTTTATAATGTTTTTATCGTTCATAGTGGGGATAGGAACCATATTGATCATCTTTTGGGAATAAAGTTTTTATTAAAGTTTTCATCTACTTGTCTAACGATAAAACTTGAATTTCTGACAGATATAATAAATACATCATACCTAAAAGTTTACTGTATTACAGTTGTTAAAATTTTTAGGTGTTTTTTCGACTAAACTTAAAATATATTCTAAATACAGCGATATCCATCAACTTAATAAAGAAATGTATTAAATAAGCATATTACTTTTCAGCTCTAATCTTATTAATTCGAATGTTTTTGACTAGTAAATTTTAATTATTAATAGTTTTAATCGAGCTCTTAAAATAGTTTTGATTAGAGTTATTTGATTTGATTAACTAACTTTAATGAATAATATTTAATGATTTTCACTAATGCGTGCAAAGATAAAAGGAAAATATTTAATAGAAATGAGAAAATGAGTTCATTAATAATTGGTTGGAATTATATCCGTAGCACGAACGGTAAATAGTCATATAACAGTAATGACATTCGCTTTAGGGTTTTATTCTTTCGTCTAAGTGAGGCATATTAATAATTCTCGAGGAACTATACACATGAAGCACATACGACGTCAGACTGAATTCGTATCATACTTTGTTCATGATTAATACATAGGACCTCAAATTTAGTTGGTACGAATCTGTTAAATTTTCTATTTCAAATTGAACTCAAACGTCATTTTAGAATGTATTCTATTGGTTCATAAAAGCCACCTACGTCAAATGAACTTTTCGACGTAAACTGACAGATGTTAGTTTTGAATCGAGGCACAGCTAAAAAATAAATAAGAGACAATTGCAAAGACTAGTATTGAGATTTTTTACAGGAAGTATTGCATTAGCAAAATATACCAATGAGTAGGGAAATTATGTGTATTCAGGATGTGCCGGAGAAAATCAAATTAGTGTCAATATGAAAATAAAATAATTGGAAAAAGGTTTTTAGCGTTCGACTATAACTAGCTGCTGGTCAATCTTAAAAAAANGAAAATCAAATTAGTGTCAATATGAAAATAAAATAATTGGAAAAAGGTTTTTAGCGTTCGACTATAACTAGCTGCTGGTCAATTTTAAAAATAAAAATCACTTGAAGTTGAATACTACGTGTGTGCTTGTTGCTTTACCTTGTGACGCCGTTCTAGGCAGCGTTGACGACTTAATCGCCGGCTTTGCAGGCTTCGTGTCCGCTATACCATAAGCAGCGATAATACAAAACAAAACAAAAATATGTATACAAACAATTAATCTAAACGCTACCGTTATTATTTCTATATCTCTCTTTCTCGTGGTGATCCTCTCGTTCATAATTTTAACAATCTATTGTTATTTCTGTCGATTTATTTAGTGTGTGCGATTATATGTACAAGATGTACAAGTACGTTATACTTTGTGCACCGGTACGGTACAGATAACAATACTCTGTGAAAGGGAAATCTGTGAAACGTGAACTACATCGGACAACGGTCCGGATCATATTTTATGCTTGTTGACCACTTACCAGAGCTCTGAGGCGAGTGTTGTTTCGGTGAATTCATGTCTGGTGGCTCATCACTGAACGAAACGGATTTCTCGAATGACACCGACTTGTCTGTAACGTTAACAAACATTTGGCATGTGTTAATCGAAAAAAAGTGAACGCGGGTAAAGCAGCGTTTTGAATGGTAAACAACTAAATGCAATCAACAAAGCGTATCAACTGCTGTGAATTAAATTATTGTTTTATCTTTAAAATAAAGCCTATCTTTAAACTGTTTAAAAATAATGAAAAATAAAAATTCCTTTTTAACTGCGCAAATAAGCTCTTCATTTTATCAGTTCGTATATATCAAAGCAAAATCTGCTTTGGCTTTAAAACAATTAAATCGATACCTGTAATAGAATTCTATTATGCATACTCAAAAAAAAAAAAAACATGAATAAGTTATTTCAGAGCGTTTTTCATGATATAAAAGGTCTTTAGAAATTTTCTTACCTTTTAGAAAACGGTAGCAATGTTGTTAAATTGAATTACAAAAAAAGGCGAGGGTATTTATGGAATACTATATTAACTAATATAGGTTAAAATCAAGCAAAGTATGTTTTACTGTAATGCCATAAACATGCAAAAAGACAAAACTGCTAAATAGAACGTAATGATAATAAATAGTAATGGGACTAATTGTAAATTACTACAACTGTACCTCGTCCAAGTTTAGGAGGTTTTGTATCAGATCGCTTGTATGGTTCCTCTACAAAGCACACGACATTTGAGTAAATGGGTTGTTTTTATTAAAAGTTATAATAAATTTATGTACGCTGAAGAGTAATTTTTTATATTTTTAAAAGTAAAGTTTATCAGATATAATTGATACTTGAATTGGAAGAAAATTAAGTAAAATATTTTAAAGACTTATAAAAATTAACTTTTAAAATATTCTACATTTAGTGGCATCTAAATTTCTTAGATAATAAGCACACCACTTCCAATTTTAGCATCAATAATCTACTCATTTAGCGAAATCACTATACGATAAAAGGCGTGAAAGAATTTTGAAGAACAAAGACCAAAAACATAATTTTGGGGCGTCATTCGTAGTAGTATCTGAACAAACTGAATAATAAGATAACTGTTTTCTATGTGGTATTCTAATGCACAAAAATATTTTTGATTTTTAATAAAAATTTATTTTAATTATAATAATTATTTAATTAACGTATTGAGACGTTATGTTGTGCCGTAAAGTAAAACAAAATATCTGTTTCTCATTAAAATATATGATTAAATTATATTATTTAATAAAAATAGGTAGTTTTTATTGCAGATAAAGACACTATTGCGTACAACGCCATGATTCCCCCCTCCCCCAAATACAAATTAATTAAATATAAACTACTATGTTTGTAATCAATGTGTAAAATTTTGGAATAACGTACCTCCTAATGATGTGGAGCTTCCGCTGGATACCTTATCGAACTCATCACTAGCTGGATGGTAAAAAGTGAAAAAGAATAATTTTAGAGGTTATGCACACCAAAATCCAAGCAATACGTTCAAAGAACGTTTTTATACGGTATGAATTAGTGTTATTATTATGTAGTCAAATACATGGTTAGTAATGAAACGTGTTGATTTAACTGTGTAGGTATAAAATAATAAATTAAAGTAACAGGGTGTAAGTATGTGAAGTATGGAAAGGTGGAGAATGCAAAGAATAGTTCAAAATGAATTAGTGCATCATTAAATAAATCAATTGGTACATCAAAGTTAAAATAGTTATATTTGATGCAGTTGATTTTAATATAATCTACTTGCTAGTCAGTCTGTAATAAATCGAAAAATACTAGAAAATAAGGTGGAGAAATAGTTATCATTTAAAATAATATGACCGACAAAAATTTGTGTTTAAATTAAAAATTCTTATAAATAATTATAAACATAATATTTACCACTTCTGAACGGCTGAGCAACAACGGGACCATGAACCAGAGCTTTTTGTACAAGACCCGTTAAGTTGGCAATTTGTCTTTCCATATTTTCCACTCTTAATCTAAAATATGAACACATTTACAAATATGTATTATATTTAATCACGCAAAAAAATAACATCTAAAAACGTGCAAAAATCGCATGAAAACACAATTTGAAAATAATAACTGATCTAAAATATAGAAGATAAAGAATTTTTTTTTTTTATAAATTTAAACCACTGTTATAACAAACTGGGCAGTACTATATGATCTTCTCAAGTTTATACAATTGCGTGTTCGTTAAAAATAAATACTAAAGTGTAGAACGACTGAAATGTCGACAAACACTTTTAATAATATATTAATTAGTTTTCACGGGAAAGTCATCAATATTAAAATTAAAGATTAATATTAATAATTACTCAATTAATTAATACTTTTGAGTAATTTTGAAAATTCTTCAAAAAAATAATATCGATTACAATCAGTAATTAAAAGTGTCGTAATTAGATATTAATTTGTTTCCATGTTTAATTAGAAGTTTGTATATATGAAATTTTATAATTACATTGAATGAATTGAAACAAAATTAAAATTGTATTATTACATTATTATTTGTCTAAAAACGCGTTTTTACGTAAAACTATAATATTTAAAAATTCATGCTACTTTTGAGTACATAAACATTTCTAAAAAATATCAGTTTTTTACTAAATACTAATTACAAATCTAATTTCTACACTACAGAAATTTACTTTATTACATTATTAAAATTAATAGTTTAACATAAAGGAATTTTCACGCAAGATTTCAATTGTTATTGTACAGGGTTTTCTAGTTAAAAAATAAAAATAAATTCAAGTCATGACACAAAACATAGGGACACCTGTTGTGGTGTAGTACATGTGTACCTGGTAGCATCATAAGGAACGGTAGGCGAAGTGCCGTAAGTTGGCGGTCGCTTGGAAATTGGTGTTTTCACAGGGTACAAAGAAAACGGATCTTCCATTAGCTCGTTGTCACTGCACGGGATCGAAAACAATGTTAGTAAAAAAGGTGGCAAACAAACAAGAAAAATAAATATGTATATGTACAACAAAGGTGATCTTGCAGATTTATTGGTTGTAATCTTGTCACACATATAAATACAACAGTAATATTATATCGCAGGGATATACGTGTATTGTTTATAGTGATTGATTAAAAAACCCAATATTTACTTTATACGAATTATATTTATAATGTGAATTTTTTGGCAAATTTACATTGAGCGAAACCTTAAATTGTTGTTTCCCTAAACCTAACCAATGAAGAAGAAGGGAATTCCGGAAGGTAAACCAAAAATCGATTAATTATCTATAATGAGAAGAGAGTGATCACACAAGTAGATTACCGGTTTTTTAAGACTTTATATCTTTATAAATCGAATGGTTTTTTCAAATAATAAAAAATGATCGTATACATACAAATGGGTATATTAGTCTTAAATTGCACAAACCTGTTTAGTGTACGTCGTTATCTTTACTTATCGAACGTAAAACACGTTGAAGAGCTGGTCTTCTCAGCAACGATAGCCTTTTAATGTTTTTTATATTTTCTGCCAGAAGTAGAAACTCAAAAAAATGAAAAAAAAAATGTTCAAATATCTCATGGTAGGCCATCAAAGCGGTAGGAATTTTTTCTAATAGTTGTTTTGACGCTGCGGGAATTGAATCAAATATTGCAATAATTTCTATAGACCACGTGATTTTTCGTTGTTTTAACCGACGACGCTGTCAACTATACACGTTTTTTGTTTCTCGGAAATAGCAAAAAACGAGATTCTTCCGAAACTTTCACCGAAAACGAATCGCATTCAATGTAGACGACATTAATAAACGGTTTTGTGCATAATTTTTACTGATCCTCATAAATAACCTGCGACTGCTTTAAGTGCTATTAATATACGAGTAATTTGCTGGTAAATTATATGGGAAGTGTGATGGTTTTAACGCCTATCTATCGCCGTAATGTTAACATCCGACCACCTAAGACGTAATGTATGATTTGTTAACTCGTATAATTTACGAAGGATACGTGACTTTGACCGCAAAAGGTCATAATATAAGGCTAACGATAATTTTAAGTAATTGCATAGCGTTTTATATTATGAGTTGATAATCATAACATAGTATGCGTTTTTATTGGTATCAGATACAATTCTCGCTAAATCTAAGATTCTTAGAAAGCGCCACTCGATGCAATTTTTATGCCAGTTTTTAATGTTCTCGACGAATGATTTTCATAAAGACATCGTCTATATAACTATTGACCACCGGAGTAGGTGAGGTCAAGGGTTAGATCTTTTGGATTTAAGATTGTAAAGATATGAAATTATCAAAAACGAGAAGTGAAATTGATGTTTACGGATAATTAGATTATTATAATTTAGGGAAGTAGGTAAACATTGCGAGAAAAAACGCAAAAACATGATAGATCTTTCGCTTTTTATGTTATTAAGACTTTAGGCGATTACTTTTATTTTTACTTCACGGTTATGCTGCAAAATTTGTTCGGTTTTATTATTATTTTTTTTTAAATCTGCTAAAGAGAACTATTTTAGAAAAGTTTTACGTTTATACTTTATTTAAGTAATACTTAAATAAGCTCTTAAAATATTTTTATTTAAAAATTGGACTTACATATTAATATACCAATTCATTTTGACGGTATAAACAATATTTTGAAAATTCTTGTTCATAAATGGTTTAATAGAACTAGAGATTTTATGCGTATGAATAAAAATAAACATCATAAAGTTAAAAGAAAACACATTTTTGTGATTGAAGCTAAAATGCGTTCCTTATTATAGAGTACAAAAACTATTTTGTAATAGGTAAGTAGTTTATTTAATCGTCTCGGTTAAATTCCTACGAACTTAACTTTCTATAGGATTAATTAAGTTATTCTTTACAAACGTTTTTATTTTAAAAACACGTAGTACATTTTCTACGTGAATAATTTTTTTAAACTTAATAATATGCCAAGAATCATATATATTTTACATTTTTTGGACATAATGTAAATAATCATAATCTTGTTCAGTACTATGTAATCATCGCTTAGGCATTACTGTTATTAAGTATGGGCGTTTATAATTTTAAAAATCGGCGAGTGTATACATTAAGTTTAAAATTATCTTTTAGAAATCTGTTGGGCAAAGAGTAAGTCAAAATTACCACTTAAACTACCATATTGTGCGGTATTATACATATATGGTTCTTTTTCAATTAAATGTATGTAATTTTAAAGAAAAGTACCTGGTTTCTTCGTCAATAACAGGAGTTATAGACCCTGTCCGTGGGCCGTAACCGTAATAAGAATTTTCATCAAACGACGATCCCCCTGGTGACATGTATGGAGGTACTGTGTAACCAGTCCTAGATCCAGCTCTTTCCGGAGAAGACATATACCCTGAAAGAAAATCAAATTAATGTTACTTACTTTAAGTATGAATAAAGTGTACACGTGTTTCGCGTATCAACTGAGGGATTATTTTCAATTAAACCAAAGAGTAAGTAAGTATTAAAAGTAATTTTATATGAGTATAAAAGATTCGTGTTGCACAAAAATTGTAAACAATGATAAATAAAACTTATGTGTACACAATATAATTTATTAATTTAAGTTAAAAGAAACGGATTAATGGAATAAGTTAATTTTGTTCATTTTTTGTAAACGTATGTTAACATGTTTTTGTATATGAATAATTATAAAGTAAAATAAAATTTTCACTCTTTATATGATATACCATAATTGAAAGAGTTTCATATTTTAATAATAACTTCGGCCTTTGTTCTGTGATAAATTTATAGTCACGATGCTTCAAAATATATTAATTTTAGTATCGTAAAATAAAAAAACTGCTCGAAACAAATTAGACCTCTTAAAACCTTTATGTTATGTCGAGTAAAACATGAAAATGTTTTTAAAAATAATTGTTTCTACTACTGACCTTAAACTATAAAACTAATTTCATGAAGCCGACATTGGCTGATTAATGGGATCACGAGTTCTAATAGATATTTCTAATTAGCAATGTAACTCTATTCAAATTGGTTGAGATAAATTAAACAGAGTGTTTAAAAACATTAACTGGATTTGACATTTATAAAAAATATTAGTGTACACCATTATTTTAATGAAAGTGAAAATAAAAATATAATACAATTAAAAAAAAAAATTAAATAACTCTGCTCAAAATATAACACGAATAAAAAATATACATTGGTAAAAAAATATCAAATGAAATACATAAATGCCTTAAAAATATGCAAGCATAACATATAAACCAATGATGAATGTTCACTAAATATATTTTGATCAATAATTTGTTAAGTCGTAATCCGAAAAAGTTGACACTTTTTATAGAATAACTTTCGAGGAAAATGTGTTGTTAATTTTATTCGTCTCACTTTTTCTCGTTTAAACTTGTTATATTATTGAATACATCTTATCTAATGGGATAGTAATAAATCTTGAGGCAACTTTTAGGAAATTGACAATGCAGAATAATAAATCACCCCTTAGACATCTTAAGGTGACTGTAAGTAATTGAAGAGATGTTTTTTTTAACTCTGATTATTATCGATTGATCGCATTGTTGAAACGTTTCATTGCAAACTAACTAAAATTATTTATTGTAAATTCCTTGGCATTTTATGTATCTTCGTTTAATGGATAGTATAATTGGAGATTTACTTACAACAGTTACAATGATGACTGTCTCTAGAGAACACAACGGTTGGATTACAGTAACTATAAAAATGTAGTATTTTATGTCTTTTACCGCGTCAATAAAATACCACACTAAATTATTTAATTTGTTCGTAAAAAACTAACTTGTTTTATTATTTGTTTATTAAATGCTCTATTTTTGCGTCGAAACGGAAGCAAACATAACACGTATTTTTAGTGTAACATGGCCATAGAAAATTTCACTTATTCAGAGAAATTACACAAACTTAACTTTTAAAACTCATCTCGGTATTAGTCATGATATGCGACATGTGCTCGTATCAGTTTCGTAATCCAACAAAGATATTAAAATTTATCACTGCAACTAAAAGAGAAAACGCGTTGCATATTTTAAATAGCAACAAGTGTTGTTAATAGATTACAATGGCACTCGTTTAAATGTAAATTTCTGATTATTATGTTCGTCTAATTTTATGGAATCTGTTCATTTCTTTTCGATTAAGCATTTTCCGGATAATTTAATAATTCAAGTTTTGCGATTCATTAAAAATTATTTTATATTTTGACACGAGTTTTAAATGTTTTCTCACTTATTTTTTATGACGACGTATTAAAAAAAAAATCAATTAACTACCTGACGGCTTGTTGACAGCCGATGATGGAACAGCTGGTGAATAGGTTCTAGCCGGAATGGATCCTGTAGGAGGACGGCCTCTGTTGGGTAACGTGGCCGACGTTCCTGGTGGAAATTGGTGTGTCATGTAATATGGTTGTCCCGGTACGCCACCACTTGTGATTTTACTTCCCTGTAACAAAAAAATTTAATGGATTTAGTAACGATTTCTTTAATAATCGATAATTGTCCGGATTACAACAGTCACATTTTACGGTATTAATTTACTATTGGATTAAAGAAAAATGATGTTCGACAACGGTCATTATTGTTTGATAATATATTATTATAATACACATATAATTATCTCGTAAATATTATACTAGCGAGTTTGTGTAGGCATAAATTACCGTTAAGTTACTTTCACACACCAATACAATTGTACTTATATTCATTCACTATTCAAATTATTCGAATTAATTAGAGTACAATTAATTTACTGTTAAAAACTTAGCTCACTATTAGTAATAAAAAAAGAAATAGACAATTTATATAAGTTTAGCGTAGGAGAACCGTGTCAAAAACGAAATACATTTCTAAAAATACTTAGAAAATGACAGCTAGAATTTCATAAAAATATTTTACACAGCAAATAAATAAAATCCCCATAATTATAAATAACCATTCATGTAAAACAACTATTAGCTTAATTACAATAAAAAAAAGTATCAAATTAAAAGCTACACAGACTCGTAGTTTTAATGTTCGTTCGAGCATAACTGACTATTTATGAATAATATTTTCGGAAAATATATCGATTAACATCATAATTGAGCAATTAAATGTACAAAATTTTACGATTTTCACAATGGAACGTATAGCGCTTGGCGAATTTTATGGGGTACGTGTGGTAAAACTCAAGAATTTCAAAATGTTCAGAAATTTAGAAGACCAGACGGTGATCGATAAGAAACTGGTGTAATTTAACGTGTATAGTCTGACAATATTAATCCACCGTAGAAATATATTAATAATGAAACCGCGTAGGAATGAAATACGTCAAAAACTGACCTTGTTTTTAATAACACGGAAAACCTTAACACAATAATAACAACGTTAGGATTTCTCAAAAGGTACGAACGTGACTATGTCATTTTACTAGTCTGCTTTAGGGACTCTTTTAGCTTTTTTTTTATTTCAAATGTAAATATTATTGGGAGCCAAGGTAAAAAGTAAATTAAATTTTTTCGTTGGTGAATTAGAAAATGGCAAGCTCTGCCTTTATATACGACCTTATCGCCATTTTTGTAAAATTACGATAAACCAATTGCATGTGTCAAATTGTAACGCCAATAACTCAAAGTACATGACCACGATCTTCATTAATTTTGATATTTACATTTTTTTTTTATCATATGTATGATGTTTAAATGTTATAAATAGCTACAAGAATTTAAAAAACTTTGTTTTTAGATATACGAAAATTAACAATAAGTCGAACGAGAGAGTGCTAACGTTTATTAATGTTGTTTTTGAACTCGTATGTTAGTAATATTTCATTTGCATGTACAGGAACACAACTGGAGAATAACATTATTTTCATAACAACTTTTGCTCTCGTTTGTTGATTATACGAGAAGTTATACTCTCTGGTGGATATGAAAACCGAGTGCTAAATAATTAGGAGTTATATCGTAGTTCTATTTTAGGTAGTAGTGGATCGACCATACGAGTACGAAACTGTCATGCAATTAACGATTTTACACTTATGCCAGTAAACTGACTTTTCATATTTCTTTGAAACATTTTCACGTTGATTAAAAATAAATATTGTTTTGAAACATCGAAATAGTATAATTACAGTAACAAATAGTCTTGTTTTTAATTCGAAATTTAACAATGATTTAAATTGCTTCGGATACGGTTGCATAACATCCTAAGAATAGATGTTATAATAATTAAATTAACTCTTTTGAATATGATGCCACTGACGCTATTAAATCATACAATGCGAATTTGATGTTAATGTAATGAAACAACGATGTTATAAATTATGAAGGTAGTATTCAGCGAACAATATTATCACAGCAACCAGAGCAGAAAATGTTTTAATATTGCAACAGAGAAATGTCAGAGCTGTTGGTTTAAGAAAAAGTCAGCCTTTGGATTGTTTATAAATAATTTTAAACAATAATGACACAATTATTTATTATTACCCTGTGGATTAAATTAACATAAAGTACGGTTTCCAAATATTTTCCACTAAGTTATCTTTAACTTTTGATACGCTTCGAAAAATTCAATTATAGTTTTTTGTGACTTCTATGTTTTTTGAACTATCATTAAAATTTTATAGTTAGTAAAAGCTTTAGTCTAAATTAATTGATACTTTGAATACAAAATCCATTAATGAAATGAAAAATTAAGAATTAAGCTTAAACATAATTAAAATTATTTTAATTTTTTAAATAAATATAAATTTTTATTTTAAAATAACAGTTCTTTAAAAACGAAACTTTTCTCGAGTTTTTTAATTCAAATATAATCAAGTTCAGCGTTCTTTTACGACCGAGTTGTTTTTTAATAATAACAATAAACGAATTCGTCTATAAATATTTTAGATATGTACAATGTGTATAATATAATGATTCTAATCATAAGTGAAAGTGATAAAAAAAAATGTCAGGGTTTTCTTCTTAATTTTTTATTTTATGTTACTTATATGTGTATATAAAATTCTAAAAAAATAAATGAAGAGGGTTAAGCCCCCTAGCCTCCTCTTATAGCTGCTAGTTTTTCCATGTGTTTTACATGGTTTTAATATATTCTTTAAGCGTTTACACAACTTACTACTATATAATTTGTCTTATTAACATGTATGTCTGTAAAGTAACTTTAATTTTTTGTATACTTTTTTTTAGTGAAATACCTCTAGAATTTAATATTACCTTTATAATCACAAATATTACGAGAAATGTCGTCCACTCACAGACAACGATTACACATTATTGTGTTTTATAAATGAGAAAAAATTCAATAGAATTAAACCTTTTCTTTTAACGACAACCTTTATCGCTTTGAACTTGTTATTTTAATTTAACTTTAATTTACCGGGTTTAAACCAAGTTGAACATGTAATTATTCAATAATCTTGTAAAACAAGATAAGCAACAATCTAATCAAGTCGAGACTAAAGGCTTTTAAAATCCGCTTAGGACCTTATACCTCCAGAGTACAACAGTATTCTTGTTGGTCTCAAGAGATTTCACAAAAAATAATGTAGTTCGGTTCACATTTAATCAACAGAATGAGAATAAATTGTGTATTTTATACACATCCGAAATTCGATAAAGAAAATTTTACTTTTACCGCAAACTAGTCAGATATTTTTCGTTTGGTTACATTGGTTTTTGTTTGGTCTCGTTTGGATCTGAGGTGGTCGCGTCACGGTGTATTTCGAATTGCAACTATTTTACGGGCTAACAGATACAAATAGCGTACAACACATTATGCGACAATAAAATTCGTTGGAATACATTTTTGTCGGAAAAATTTGATATATGACATATTCTACCACCCAACAACGATTGTATTTACAGTAGTTTTCAATTTATTCGCACACACGCCATTGCCCACGTATTCTATTAACTTGCTCGGCTTAAGTACATTCTAGGCCGTAAATAACATAGATTCTCTCAGAAACGTCATCTTTCTGGCCACGGATAAATGCTCTTATACAAGCTAACCACTCCTTTGGCGCGTTTGTTTACACGTGATCAATAAATTTCAAGTCCAACACAAGGTAAATATCATACAATATAGGATGACTAAAAGAATTGCAAAACTGGTACGATACACACTCAACTGCTTTCCAAAACGGGTTGGCGAATAAAAAGTGCTCATCCGAAAGTAAACGGATAAACGCTGTATTTTATTTTTATATCCAGTACCGGTTTTTTATAATGAGCGAATAAAAAATAACAAATGTGCTTATGATTTAAATTATGCGACAAAAATAGTTTAGCCATTGATGGACAATGGTATATAGTTTTTTTAATTTTCAGTCACTTAAACGCTATTTAATGAATGAACTAACCATATTCCATCGGTAAATAAATCGACAACAAATTCTATCGGCACCACTAAGTTCTGAACTCGATTAAAATGTAATTGGAAAAAGTTCATGATTTAAACATTAAACATAACACGGTTGTTTACGGTCGTCCTCCAAATATGTACAACAACAAAACTCAGCATTATTAATACATTTTATAGTCTGTTGGTAATTAATTATAAAAATCACGTGTCGGAGTTCTAAACGGTAAGCTAAAGTTGGACTTCAATGAGCGTGCCGAAAAACGATTAATAAATTTTAATACGTTTACTGACATAACACGAATATTAAATTAAATCTTCTCTTGGTGATCTACTACTGACAGTTGGATTATTAACGCGTATAACCTTTCACCGGCCGAAAAATTTAAAAGCCAATTAATAATACTGCACACGTTTGATGGATTCGACTTGTTGCTCGGTTTTCGACCCAAAATGAGATTAATTTTGTTGATTGCGATTGCGGAACTTTTTTCATAACTTCACTTACCGTGTCATATCTAAAATAATTGTTGAATCGTGAAGGTATTATGATTGTTATTTGACGATGAACCTCTTCTCATAACAAACAAGACTAAATATATAACAAGTGAGATGAACTCTAAGCCTGTTACCACTTATGATAAGTACATAATTAATAACCTCGGGGGATCGACAAGATGAGTACGGCTGAGGTTTGCGACGTACGCATACATGTGATGCACTATTGCCGGAGGTCAAGAATAGAGTGTAAAAAAATAATGTTTGAGAGAACACGGGTCAGACTTAAAAAGTAAATTGGTCGCGTATCATTTTGAAGCGCCAGGAAGAAACTGAAATTGATAAATATAGAAATCAAAACGAAGATGATGTGTTGCGCAACTAAAACAGATAAATCTTTTTAACATCATGTTACTCCAATAGCATCGTAGGCGGTTTTTGAGACGAGTAAGAATAAAAATATTACTATAACTATAAAAATAGCGGAATAATTCAGATAAGCATATTATTATTTAAAGAAGTTAAAAGTGAAAACGAAACGATTCAGTAATGGCGTTCTGCAAATATAAGAGGACGCGCAACTAATGTACAAATAGTAAT